TCTTAAGCCCACTTTCCTCAATTGAAACATGTGCTCAATGGTATTTTATTGAGAAATTCAGTACTGCAAATATTTTTAATTACTGTTCATGCATCAGGTAGTACAGTAAGTACAGTAAGAAGTATACTACAAAAGAGACAGGTCTTATAAAAAGGAACCTCTTGAACAACAGCAAAAAACAATAAAGAAAAATAAAATGGGCTTTAACTATGGTAGAAAGGGTTTTGATTAGAAATAAGAAAATAAGGAGACCTCTAAACATCAAATACAGTAGAGAGGTAGATTTTGGGTTTCTCTTTTCAATGCATATTTATTCATTACAACAGATATAAAATAAGATTTAAACATGAGATGGGCCACATTGATTTTTCATTTGTCTCCTACTATAGTATTATTTGAAGTTATAGAGCATGTTTTTCTATTGGCGTATCTTCTTTTATTGTTTATCACCCTCTCATATTCAAGAAGCTTTTCAAATAGCCTATTAAAGTATTTTCAAATTACCTAAGAAAATAAGTTCCCTAGAAGTTGGCATTGTGATTGGAAAGCAATAGACAGAAAGATTGATTTATTGATAAGTGAAAACATGCTACAAATTTTCTCCATAGTAAAACTGCCTATGGATTATAAAATCACTTTTAGAGAAATTGCAGCAGATAGGCATAGTGATGCAAGTACTGAAGGAAAGGATCACAATGTCCAAGGATAGGTATGCTTTACTTTATAAAAGGAATTTATTTCTTCTGAAATACTATGCATAAATATAATGAAATGGCACCAGGGAAGGTTGTTTAGAAAATACATGATAAATACTTTTGTGAGACAAATAATCATTCTATAATTTTTAAAGAAAAATCACTTTACAGTTTATAGATTTTGTGATTTTGGGGGGATTCTCATACATTAGGTTTCCTTAAAGTGAAAGCATATTTGTATCTACTATAACATAAATAAATTAGCAACAGTGATTTCTAATCTAGTAGCCTTGGTTGGATTTTGAAGTTCAACAGAAAACAAATATTTTAGAAATTTTAGAAAATTGAAGATTTTGAGTTTTAAATGTGAACCACACTTTACAATTTCATTTAAATTAAGGAAATATATTATTTGGAAATTTTTTGTAAGGAAGATTTTCTCCTTCCTTGTCTGTCCTTTATCTATCTATTCAATCATTTATTTGTATCAGTGCGGATTCATTGATATTAATTTATTAGATTGTAATCTAATAAGATCAGTATTTTGTTGCTCAAAGCATTTCAGCCTTTGTCACTTGGAACTCCTGGTTGGATCCTGTGTCCTTTTCACATGCCCTAATAAATTTTTTCTTTTTTGTTTTTTTTTGCCACTATTTCATTTTCTGGCACTACAAGATGCTTCAGGCTCATGTTTTCTGTTTTTCCTGCCCTAGATCTAGAATTAGCTATTTTTCTTGAGGGAGGGTCCTAGTTCCTTTTAAATTGAAGAATATTTAGAAAATAAATCTGGGCATGAGGTATGCTCATTGCTACTGTAGTATTACAATTTCTAGGAACTTTCAGGAGGTAGAGCTAATAGAAGTTATGTATGTATACACATGTATGCATGCATATCCATCTTTATTTTTGTATCTGTATGTATACTAAAATAAAAATGAGTTCATATTGATGTCTTCACCTTTAATAGATCACTACAAAGTTAATTTTAGCTATTTTCTTTTGCTTATTTGTAATTTCTTTTTCTGACAATGGAAAACCTAACTTCCATTATCAACAATTTATTTACTTATATGTTTTGCTCTAGTATAAATTCAAAATCATTTTATAATTGTTAAAGTGTAAGCCTATGAGAAAAATTATCAGAGTACAACGTTCGTGTATAGTTGTTTTTCCCTTTAGCTTTATTCTTTACAGTTCTATGTGTTTTGATGAGTGCACAGTCATTTGTTTAGCACCGCAGTACCATATATAGTAGTTTCATCACCCCTAAAATTCCTCATGCTCTCACTTTGTCAATTCTCCTGTATCTCTAAACCTAGGCAACCATTGATCTGTTCCCTATCTCTGTTTTTCTTTTTCTAAAATTTCATACATATGAAATCATACAATATTTTGTCATTTGGGTCTACTTTCACTTAACAAAATGCATTTAAGATTCATTCATGATATTGCATGAATTGATAATTGTTTCCTTTTGATAGTTGGGTAGCATTCCATTGTATGGAGATGCTACAATTTGGTCATCCATTCACCAACTGAAGTACATTTTGGTTCCTTTAACATTTTGGCAGTTATAGGTTAAATTGCTATAACTATTCACATATATGTTTTTGTGTGAAAATAAGTTTTAGATTTACTTGAATTAATACCTAAGAGTGAGATTGCTGGATCATAAGTGTATGTTTAATTTTATAGGAAATTGGCACACAATTTTCCAAAATGGCATTATCATTTTAAATTTTTATTAGCAATGAATGAGAATCCCTGTCATTTGGCATGCTCAACAGCTTTTGGTATTATCAGATTTAAAAAAAAAATTATCCATTTTAATAGGTACCTAATTGTATCTCATTGCAGTTTTAACTTTGCATCTCTCTTAATAACCAATGCTGTTAAAAATCCTCCCATATACTTATTGGCCATCCATATACATATATATATATATATATTTTTGGTGAAGTTCAGATCTTTTATCCATTTTTAAACTGGGTTGTTTATCTTCTTATTATTAAGCACTAACAGTTATTTATATATTTTGGATATAATCCTTTATCAGATATGTGACCTACAAGTCTGAAGCTTATACTTTCATTCTTTTAACAATATCTTTCACAAAGCCATTTAAAAAATTTTTATTTATTTATTTATTTTTTGCTTTTGATTTCCGCATTATAATAGGAAGGGTTGTGATTTGTTAATTCCTTTAATGTTCAACAACACATACACTAAAGCAAATTGAAAAAAAGAAAATGAAAACAAAACAAAACAAATTTCAATATGTCTCACAGCTTGGTGATTTAGACCTTGTATATTTTATCCATAATTTCTCATAAATGTACAGTGCTATAAAATTTTTATCTAGCCAGAGATATAAGATTTGACATTTTTTTTCTCATTTTCTCATTGAAATTTTAAAGTTATATGCTCAGTTAGTGTGCTCTGATATCAACCCACAAAAGTCTTTAGGTAGCAGAATTATAGCATTAGATCAACAGTCCTCTGAAAAAATGTTGTCCAATACAGAAGCTACTAGCCACATGGGACCACTTGAAATGTGGCTAGTGTAAATTAAGAGACTTTTAATTTTAATTAATTTAAATTTAAAAACTGATACTCTATTTAGTTATTGGAAAACTTTTAAGTATGTGCGGAACATCTTGACTTTGTGAATCTACACTTTTCAACTATAAATTTTGTGAAATCTAAATACAGATCAAGCATATCCAACAGAAATTTAGTATCCACATTAAGCTGTGCTATCAGTACACACTGGATTTCAATGACTTAGTATGAAAAAAAAAAAAGAATGTAAAATGTCTCAATGTTTTACACTGATCACATGTTAAAAAGACTATATTTTGACTATATAAATTTAAATAAAATTTGTTGTTAAAACCCATTTTATCTATTTTCTTTCTTTCTTTCCTTCTTTTTTGCTTTTACTTTTTTAACTGTGGCCACAAGCAAAATTTAAATTACATATGTGGCTCACATAATATTTTTATTAGATAACACTGCTTTATAACAATACGTTGTGTATGAAATTATATTTTGTGTCAAAAGGCAGTGTTCTAAAGTAGCATGCTCATGACCTATCCACTGCCACTTGCAACCTCCGCAGCATAATCAGGAATACTTCATTCTCCTGCCTTTGTTGTAGAGAAGGATCAAGTCTCACTAAGTTTCGAATCTCTTATGATAGATTTTATACCTCAGATGAAGTTTCCACTAAAAAAAAAAAAGAGCTGAGAGAATGGAGAATAAGGCCTGAGATGGGTATTGTCTGGCAGGATCTGTTGTTGTTAAAGAACAGTGTCTTCTGATGCCATAAATGGCCATAAATTTTGGGATCACTGCTGACTACTTAAGGGCTCCAGTTATGGCTTACTTCTGAGGAAAAAGGGATTGGGCTGCCTGCTTTCCTCTCAACTGCTATGAGTTAGTACTTAGTGTTTAGTACTTAACTCAAGGAAGAATGGGGTGAAGGGTTAAAGAAGTACAAATTAGTAGTTGATAGGTGGTTACAGGAATGGGGAGCTCGGCGTATGGAATGCAGTTAGCATTAAAGTAATGGCTAGGTGGAGAGCCAGAGAAGAGAAAGAGCAATTAGGAGGATTGTTTTATAAACTATATAAATGTCTAACCAATTACTGTATACTTGAAACTAATAATAAAATAAAATTTAAAAACAAGCGTAGTATCCCAGCCTTTTACTCTCTCCTTACTTTTAAGTGATGTGAAACTGATAGTAAAAGATTTCATTACTGAGCAAAGAACACTTTTCTTCTTCTTTTGATTTAGCTTATTAAGTAAATTATGTGATTTAATAATTTAGTGCTATAGGCATTATCTTGCCAAAACCAAAACTATTTTTTGAAAAGATAATATAGAAAAAATTAATGACCTTAGAATTATATTATACATTTATATTTTTAAAAGACATTTTAAGAAGTTTTCATACTTTATCATAAAATTTTGTATGTACAATATTTAAATGTACTGAAAAAACTAAAGAGTAGTATAAAAATCTTAAGATTATTCAGTCTAATATTTATAAATATAACTAAACATCATGAGTATATTATTCTACCATGATAGACAATTATTTTAAGCCTTAACTTTGATACAATGTTAAATCTAAATTTGTAGAACATCTCTTCATATAAGATAATCTTCTAAAGCCATTCTATATTTAGATGAGTTTTAGCTTATAATTTTCTGAAACAATCTAAGTTATCTATAAATTCTAATTGAACACATTCCTTTCACGATAGAGCTAGCTTGGGAAAATAAATATGTACTTACGATATAGAGAACATATCATGGGAAGCACATAGACAGTTGTTAAGCTATTCCACTGTATTATAAAATTCTTGAATTATTACATTCTAAACCTGTTGGGAAGGAGAGAAAAAAATTATGTTAGTTAAATGTGCTGGGTGTACTATATAGGTAGCTAAATAATCAAGAGAAAGCTAAAAGAAATCACACATCTTACAAACATTTTTTTCTATATGTATTATTGTGTCCTTTATTTACATTAATTTATGATTTCTTTGAATTTTTAAGAAAACGCTATTGAATCACTTGTCATTTGAGTATTCAATAAAATAAATATTTAAAAGAATGAATGTTGTAATTGAAATCTAAAGAAATGAGTATAAGATATCTTGCTAACTAAATATATTTCACGGTCTCTCTTTTCTGTTTTCCACTTACAGAATAAATTGAGTCTATAGCACAAAAAAAGAAAAACAAAAAGAAAATATAAAATAAAAAATTACTAAATCATCTGGATGTTTATAATTTTCTGAATGTTTAACAAAATAAAGACCAAATAATTAGATGATTTGTCTAAACATCTTTAGTTTTCATGTTGATCTATGTCATCTGCCGTGGCTTGAATGTTTGCACTCTCCAAGCCCCCACTGCTAATTCATGTACTGCAACATAATGCTCAAGATGCTGATATTGGGAGGCGGGACCTTTGAGAGTAATTAGGACAGGAAGCCGGAGCTCTCATTAATGGGATTAGTGCCTTTGAAAAGAAGGATCCAGAGAGTTCCCTTGAACATTCCACCATGTGAGGATACAGTAAAAAGAATTTCTATGAACCAGGAAGCCCTACTCAAACACTTAATCTATTGACACCATGATCTTGGACTTCCTAGCCTCCAGAACTGTGAGAAATAAATTTCTGTTGTTTATAAGCCACCCAGTCTGTGGTAATTTGTTTTAACAGCCCAAACGGAATAAGACAGTTTCCCACATACATGGCTGGGTATAAATGACAGAAATGCTTTCAAACTCTAATGAATCATTTATTCTATATTGAATTAAAATTAGATTTAATACAAAGTAGGAAACTGACCCACTGACATTCATTACCATGATCAAGGGCAAATATCTTCAAATTATGGAATAATTTAGAGTAAAATTAATGGGTAGATTTAGTTTTCCCTTTAAGATAGTGCCTCCCAAAATTGTGTCATATGGATATATTTCCTATCGAAACAAAATGTCTTTTTTTGCTGTAGAACATACCCCAAAAGCTTCTTATACTTAGAGTTTACTGAAAGTGTTGGTTAGGTATCCTGTACTCAATACACAAACACACAAACACACACACTCCATATCTCTTATTCCCATTTTGTGTCCCCCAAACACCTAACTTATTTTTTCTTCTTGAAATTTGATTTTAAAGCAGAGTTCTGTTTGATTTCTTTCTGAATGTACATATAACCTCGGCTTATGCTTAATAGGAAAATAATTTAATTTTTCCCTTAATTTAGTACTTTTCCCCTTTACTTAAACTTCAATATTGTATTTATATACATTTAAAGATAATCAAAACATGGAGAATAGATGTGGCATTTCTGTCTCGTCTTTAACATAAAATTTTACTTAATCTTTTCTCAAAGGTTTAAAACATAATAGATGAATAACATGTCTATATTTTATACGAGCTGTTGAATGGTATATGTGATTGTCATTTAATTGTCACAGCAACATTGTAAGGTGTTTATAGGGTTCTTATTATTCAGATAACTAGTCCACATAAGAAGTTGGAAGGTATTGTAGCTGGGTGAATCTAGCCCTAATTTCAAAGTGTATATTCAGAAAAGTCTTCACTTGGACATACCTCATTGGACACTGTTTATTATTCTGCCCAGATATCTACTTTCAATACTATTTGAGTCCCCAATTTGAAAAAAAAAATAATCAATATTTTATAAGGTAGATTACGTTTCTCTGTTGAAACTGGATATGATATATCTTGTGCTTAGAGTTGTTAAATGAATAAAACTACAAACACGATTCTTCCACATAACATATGTATTGTGTTGGTTAGAAATCAACATAAAAGATTAATATATTTAATATTATTAAAAATAGAAAAGGGCATTTACACCTATCTTAACTGGTTCTAGACTATTATGATATTTGAGCATCTGTTAATTTTTAAAAATAGTATTGTCTCAGTTTCAAACACCATTCTTGCTCTGTTTTTACCATACAACATCTGATTTGATGCTTTTGAAATATTCTTTCTTGGAAAGTCAGAAAATCAAACATTTAGAATCCTATCTAGAATGAGGACAAATAATGAGGGTCAGCAAGTGGTCTGAGTTCCGTTATCTATTTGGGAACTCAGATTTGTGTGTATGTGTGTGTGTGTGTGTGTGCACACGTGCATGTGTGTGTGTTTCCTAAATCATAGTTATGATTTAATGGCTCAGCATGCAGAGTAACACTCAAGTTATGAAATTACTCACATTGTTATTATTTTTGTTGATAAAGTTTTATCTGTATATAGTTATTATGTCTATATTTCTTTTTTGCATTATATGTAGAGAGACAATCACTCTCTTCCATTGTCTCCATTTGTGTCTAACCCAGTCAAATGATGATAACACATTTTTCTCTTTTGATTTCCTATACATTTGTCTTTCCTCTTAGAGCAGTCAAGGCATCCACCTGACATGGGGTAGATGAGCATAAGACACTCGGTTTTTATCATCCATTTTGATGGATGATTTGAAGTCAGTCAATGTTGAGAAAAAAGGATTTCTAAATACATTTAGTTCCCTCTTACATATAATTTAGATGTTTTGCCAAGATCCTGAAGATTAGTAACTTCAACATAAAAAATTAAGATGATTCATTAAGTGTTTTTTATTTTTCATCTTGAGGTTTATCAGAAAGCATAAATGGCTCTAGATATTCATGAAATTTTATATAACGGAGTTTTGAATCTTGTAGAAAGCAATAGGAAGAAAGCCATATGTCTAATCTCATGAGAAATATCAGAAGAAGTAGAGAGAAAGAAGACCACAGTAGAATTGACTGCCACAGCTTTAGTTTTCTCCTCTCTGCTTCTGGAGGCCAAACCTCTGGCTGGTGTAGCTTTAGGAATTATTAGTTAAGTTGAAGGAATTCTCAAGGTTTTGCCTATGATTTTTGGAAGAGATGACTGTGCTGAGTCATACCATGCCACACATGGTGACCTAGTCGGGTCACAAGGGTCCCCTCATACAAATAAACCCAGTCTGCAATCCCAAGTCTCTCCCGGGTATGTGTGGCACAGATAATGGGTTGAGAAAAACTGAGCCTCCTAGAAGCAAAATGGATCAACTACAGATGTTTGTGAGGTTTTTAGCTTTAATCAGGTGTTAGAAGAGGGAAGTAGCAAGGTATATAAGAGGAGAGACCTTGAAGGGCCTGAATGCCAAGATCTAGAGCAGTCTGAATTAGTAGGGCCATTAGACAGAGACACAGCTGAAGAAAGAACCAACTGTGAGATACGTCAGTAGCAGAGTGGCCCATGACCACAGGACTGGGCAGTCTCCTTGAGTGGAAGCAGTAAGGGAAGGTAGGCTTTGTGAAGGAGGTCTTGTCTGAGCTGAAGATAAAGGCCGAACATTGTAAGAAGAGAGGGCACTAGTGCAAAAGCCTTGGACAGAAACAAGCATGGCATATTCAAGAGGGAACAACCAGATTGTATAGTGACTCAGGGCACAGTATGGTGGTGGGGTGGGGAGTGTAGACAGGCAGGCATTTTGGCCAGGTCACATTGGGCTTCATAGGCCATTGTAAGGATTTCAGACTTTATTCATGATACAATGGAGGTAAGAGAGTTAAAGGATCACTTCGAATATTCTGTGCATAGTAGACAAGCCTGGAGGAAGCAGCCAATCGAAGAGTTACTGGAGTAGTTGAGATCAGAGATGATGGTGGGTGTAAGTTTGGTGGTGGTGACAACAAAGAGAAATGTTTGGATTTGGGATATATTTGCATAAAGTATAAAATCTTATTAATTAATTTCACCATTTCACAAACATGCACTTTTGAGCCTGCATTATAGGGGAGGTTATTTTTTTCTTTAGTAAAGGGTCAATTGAACAATAAAAATTGCATAGATATTTATGTAGAATACTTCAGCTGGTTTGGGTAAAATTCACAAAAGGGAAAACCTGGAGACATACTTATTTTTTATAATTGTTTTTAATTATTGTTGAACCAATTGATTATAGTATGTGATTAAGAAAAAAACACTATATGATATTTATAAATAAAAAATAAGGAAATAGACAAATGGAGCATTACTTACAAAGAAGAAAACTTTACAGGACTCTGAATGATGTTAGAAACATCTCAAATATATTAAAAATTGAATTCCACTAATAAGAGTAAATTCCTTAATTTAATTCACCAGATGTGATTTGAAGCCATTGGATTTTGAACCAATAGAGACAGTTACCTTATGCAGTTTATAGTAATAAATGAGATTTACTTCCAGAAAAGGTCATGGGGCCAATTCCTATGGCTGTACTTTAAACAGAATTTTATGACTTCAGAATTACTGGACTGGGTCCTTAAGCCTTCTTTAATTTAACATACATTTTTCTAAATGCGTTCTATATAACAGCCGCTAGGTGCTGTGGCTGAAAGGATGACTAAAACAGTCTCCTGCCCTTGAAGAGTCCATAGTCCAAGGGAGGAATAGAAGAAAGAGAAATGAAGAAATTTGTACAAAATGTCTGGCTGGAGTATTCAATTTTATGTAGCTAAAGCTTAATAGAAAATAGGTTGTATAAAGAGAATGTTGAATGACAACTAGGCAGTGCACTATGAGCAAAGATAAGGAGAACAGAGATAAAATAGCTTGGGTCTAAAAAGTAATCTGGCTGTAGTGGAGCAAAGAGATAGGCAGTGTGATGAAACGTGCAGGAAGTAGAGCAGATAAGTGGAGGCTCGTCATCGGAGGGTCCCTCTGGACATGCTGAGAGCTTGAACATCGTTAACACTAATAATAATACCACCTAATAATAAAAGAGTGCTCCCTACATACTAGCCAAGATTGTAAGGGTTAATATACATGTTTTCACTCAAT